CGTAGCCCTGTGATCTTGTTAACCGAGACTTGACATTGGGAGCTCATGAGGACAAACTCGTACAGTGTTTACGGTAGAGCAAGACAACTGTGGCAAGCCGTTTTAACATTCATTCCTTAGGCTACTAACTAGTGTCTGTTTTTAGTATCTGGTTTTACCTGGCATGGTTGAATATCATAATATCACATACACTAATTGTTCATTCAGTATACCTATATAGGTAAAATCATACATAAAATTATAAAATCATCCAGACAGAAAAGAGATTCAATGTTGAGGAAAGAAGACTAAGCTACTAGTGCTTTTTAATTAACATTAGGCTAACAGTCCCAATAGTATCAATTTCATTTTACTAGTACCTATTTGTTAAATAATAGAACCTAATTATGAAATAGTATCTACTCCAATTGTTTAACATTTCTTTGTAACATCACTAATTGCAATTATTTTTTTACATGTCTCTGACAAGTCAGAATGGATACTTTTGTTACAAAATCATATTAGTTAACAACTGGAATACAAACTAGTGTCTAATAATAAAAAAAGACTGTACTATTTTAACTGTTACAAGTAACTAAAGAATTAAAACTAGTCCCTATTTCAGTAGGACTTACCTGCAAATTGCGTGATTTGTTTGTATTATCACTATAAAAGTGACTGCTAGGAAAGGTACAGGTCGTTGAAGCTAATGAATAGTCACTAATTCAATAGATACTTGTCAATACTGTATAACAGTGGCTTATTAATAGTAATTACTGAAATACTAGTTTCCAATCAGTAAGTAGGCCTACTAGTATTTAATGGACAGTTAGTGACACTGAAAAAGATAGTTGGATAATTGTTATTCACTAACAATAAGCAGCTTTGGAAGCCAGCCCCCACCACCAGATAAATAAAAAAAATCAAATAAATGTAATGGTAGTCTTTCTGACATTTTCATACTTTTTTCTTGCAATTCTTTTTTTCCCTTATAATTTTCTCAGATATATAAACTTGCAGTTCTTAGAAGAAAACAAAATCTGATTTGCAGATTCTGACTATTTTCTACGGTGGCCGAGAGAGCTAAACACGCTGCAACTTCAGAAAACACATGCAAATAGAAAAAGCAACAGCAAATCAAGAAAACATCTTCATCAGTTTGACAGGAGGTGCTGCAAATTCTCACAACGCAAACAAATAAAGAAACACACTGCAAATGTTCACAACACAACCAAATAAATAATTGTATTTGCAGCGCGTTTCTTTGTTTGGCTGTGTTGTGAGTATTTGCAGCGCGTGTGTTGTCAAATTGATGAAGTTGTTTTCTTAATTTGCAGGTGCTTTTTTCTATTTGCAGAGCGTTTCTTTATTGGGTTGTGTTGTGAGCATTTGCAGTGTGTGTGTTGGCAAATTGATGTAGTTGTTTTCTTAATTTGCATGCGCTTTTTTCTATTTGCAGTGTATTTCTTTATTGGGCTGTGTTGTGAGCATTTGCAGTGCGTGTGTTGGCAAATTGATTAGGTTGTTTTCTTAATTTGCAGGTGTTTTTTCTATTTGCAGTGTGTTTCTTTATTTGGTTGTGTTGTGAGCATTTGCAGCGCGTGTGTTGACAAATTGATGAGGTTGTTTTCTTAATTTGCAGGTGTTTTTTCTATTTGCAGCGCGTTGAGCTCTCTTGGCCACCGTAATTTCCCCTCACAATTCTGAGTTTATATCTCGAAATTCTGAATTTTTTTCTCATAGACTAGGTTACTTCCTGTGATTCTTTTTCCCCCAACATGGACTGAAAAATAAAAAGATAATTGTGACTTTTTATCTCACAATTCTGATTTTTTTTTTTCAGAATTGCACATTTAGATCTAATAGCTTTCCATGATACTAAAGTGTTTTGCTCATTTATTGCTGTCAACAGTGCAGCCATCTTGCTAACCAAAGGTTATGAAAAGTATGCCCCCCTTCCCGTGAAAACAGGTTTCCACAAAGTAGCACACAAAAGTATCATTAAATTATTTCTACGGAATGATGTTCAAACGGCTTGCCATAAATCAGCGGCCTCTAAATGCCCCTCATAGGGGTGTCACAAAAGCACGCAAATAGGCGGCGGATGATGCTGGGTTCAACCGAGTGCATTGATTTCTCCGAAGTCTAATGTATTCAGAGAGTGGTTGTTTTGCGCGAGATGCGAAGAGTAATGCCATATTCTGCCTTTTTTTCCTCGCTCGAGCTCCAGTTTGTACCTTTTTCCCAATTCAGTGGTGAAATCCACGGAATGTGCCATTAACAGGAACAGCTGAGGATCATGCCGCACCGAATATGGGAGAGATGTGCAGGATTACAAGGAGAAATGTCCGCGACTGAGATGCTCACAAATTAACAAGCAGGTAACGCACGCGCCTGCGTCTTCGTGTTGATGGCGTTGATTTCCGTGGGTTTTCACGGTCTCGAATGCATCGCACAGAGGTATCGGCGTGTTTTTATGCGTTGTCCCCCTAAAGCCTTGAGCCCCTCCTTGTTTTGTTGCTGTAACGCTGTAATGTTTACATTGGATTGGAAGTGCATGGATGGATGGGCCGCTTGGTTTGCTTGTCTCGCGCTTGCTTCAGGATGTGCGTGATCGTGTGCACGCGCAGCGCAGGTTACGCTAGAATCTGATTTATTTTAGTTATTTTCCCGTGAGTTAAACCGTAGCAAGGAAGGTTACATTGCGGTGTTTTCTCTGCAGTGAAGCCAGTCGAGAGACCCTTTGAAAATGCTGCAAAAATCATTCTGACCTATGCGTACTCAGACGAATTAAACTCAGATTATTGTAAAGAAAAAGAAATGCTACACTTTGCCCTCATAGTTCTTATACAGTCTGCTTCATGCGTTGTATGATGCATTATTCTAGAGCAAATCAAATCCGTATTTTTTAAGATGTCAGTTCATGAACTAGAAAGTGCATGGAATAAAGATGTTACTTCGACCGCCCCTCAAGTACAGACGCCTATATATGTTTCTGTCCGCCGGCTCGCCATTTGGCGCAAGGCTTATGTAACAGACTGGGCTGTGTCACACTGTCTCTGATGGAGAGGCGGATGAGACATGCTAGAGAACACAGTTAGATGCTCCACAACATGATGTTCTTTCCTGCTTTTCATTTAGTCCACAATAATAACAACAACACCACCAATAATAATAATAATAAATAAAATTGTTATTATGCCATAATTTAAAACAATGCTTTGCAATGACATTTTGTATCATAGGCTACATAAAATCACAAAAACAGCTGAAGCATGAACACTTCTAAATGTAAAGAATTTCTATTTCACTCTTACTCTTCGATTTTATTTTCTAATCATTATCACCATCATCATACTGTAAAATAACATTTTAAAAAGAAATGTTAAACTTTGTAGTAGGATGATGAAACATTTAACTTGTACATTATTTGCAACATAAATTGTGTATAATATAGTCGTTTGCATATTGCAGTGGTTTAGTGAATTACTCTAACAGTTCTGTAAAAACTATACATTCTATTTGACTCTTTCTTCATTCCATTTATAAGAGCTATGAAACATTAACATATAGGAGATGGTCAATTTTTATAAGAAAACATTTAAGAGAACTATGAGTTATCATTGTGGGTAATCAGAAGTTCAGGAAGTGGAGAAAAGGACTTCCACTTGCAATGACTTACGTTTGTATTTGTTTGTTCTTGAAGTATTGCTCTGATTGTTTGACATGCTGTTTGAACTGATTTAAGATTATATTTACCTTGTGAATTGCGTTGTGTTAAAGGAATTAAATAATTAGATGCTGTCTTGCTGAATTCTAATATACAACATGATTGTTGCATCACCCTTGTTTGATAACTGCAACATAGGCCTATCCCTTGTGACAAACAACATCCCCTTTATCTGGGACTACCCATGCAACCTCAAAATGAATGTCAGTGGTGTAATAAATCATCACCGATAACATGCTCTGTCTGCTATGCTTATGTTTAATGTTTTGACTTCTGTACAACACAAATCATCTGACTCCATTTGTTGGATTGCAAAACCCTTTTGGGAGCTGAAATGTACTTTTTTTAATGTTTTCCCACTTGGTTTGGTTTTTGCGATCTAGCGATTTGCATGGATTTTGACATATATTTGAATGCTCCAAAAGGAGAAAGTAAACCATCGGAAACAAAAAAGCACTGCAGGCTTCACATTTGCATGAAAGTTACTAAACTATACTAAACTATGACATAACTATAATGTAATATTATTTTATAATGACTGAATTTGCTGAAATTTGCCCCTAAATATATATTTTATTGCATTAATTTTATTCTTTTAAGTTACAGAAAATAAAACTATATGTAATATATTTTGATGTGAAAGATCCGTAAATCCATATGTTTTATAAAAAAAGCAGTTACATGAACCTCTGGCCTGTGCAATTTTTTTCTTAAGCGGTGTTAAACATAACTAAGTAATTATTTTCAGTAATAATCTTTAGTTTGGTTGTTTTCTTGAAAAACAATGTAAATTGTTAATGGACTGCAGCTAAAGTGAACCAAAACGAGTGTGAATGCAAGAACTAGGTACCTTTTCGATTCAATTCACTTTTTGGATCACTTAAAGGGGTCTGTGCTTGTTTTTAGTAAAGAGGAAGTGTGAAAACATCCTTAAAGTTGGGATCAGCTTGGAGCGATTCGACCAAACATCAGCATCTAAAAAGTGACTGGCTGTCTCTGTCTCTTGCGTGGTAGTTTTTAGAGGAAGAAGGCGTGACTACAGGCACACAACAATATTGAACTGCACCCATGTCACAGATCAAACCCAGTTTGAATGCATCGGACATAATATTAAAGGAAACAACAAGTGCACGCTATAACAAGTTTGTTGGAGCTAAGTTATCCGATGTTAGGCACGAGTGTGAATGCAAGAACTAGGTACCTTTTCGATTCAATTCACTTTTTGGATCACTTAAAGGGGTCTGTGCTTGTTTTTAGTAAAGAGGAAGTGTGAAAACATCCTTAAAGTTGGGATCAGCTTGGAGCGATTCGACCAAACATCAGCATCTAAAAAGTGACTGGCTGTCTCTGTCTCTTGCGTGGTAGTTTTTAGAGGAAGAAGGCGTGACTACAGGCACACAACAATATTGAACTGCACCCATGTCACAGATCAAACCCAGTTTGAATGCATCGGACATAATATTAAAGGAAACAACAAGTGCACGCTATAACAAGTTTGTTGGAGCTAAGTTATCCGATGTTAGGCAGCAGAGGAATATGCAGTTTTTCTTTCTATGCTGAAGATCAACGCCTGTTCAACAACAACAAACTCGTGGACGTGAACTAGGAAACGGCCGATACCTCTGTGTTAACCATGACCGTCTGCTAGTTTTCCTGGACGATTTCTTCTGGATTAGTCTGTAAAATCACCAAACGAGACATCCTGCATCGTTTTAGTCGGCTAAAAGCAGCGCGTGGACGAGTCGGAAACTCGAGCGCCATTGAAAACAAGTAAGCTCGGCTCGGTTAGTGCGATCATACTTTGCTTATTGGACAAAAAGCTGTCATATTCCACGTAAAATAAAAACGAGAACACTCTATGTATTCAGACGTTTGCATGCATGATGTGCAGACTGTGTTAATGTGTCGTTAAAGCTAAACCGTGTGTCTTTTGTCAGGGGTGCATCCCTGCATTTCCTGTTTGGGGCTTCATCTGCTCGGTCTGTATGCTAGCGATAGCAGCTAAGGGCTTGGAAAGTGCATGCGATTTGTTTAATCATTTTTATGCAATGTACAACCTCCGTGTAGCATTGAGAACCTGTTTAAAGAGCACGAGGGCAACTGCGGATGTTTGCGGGAGCTCCTGTAAAACTTCGGCCTGGCGACTTCTTTGTGCTATTGTTGATGTCCACTGCTGGGCCACGGTGACACTTATAAGTGTTTTATTCATGGGAAATGTGCACTGTCCTTATCTGAAGCATGAATAATGTTTAAATCATACCCACAAGCCCTTTTGAGTGATTATTTTTGATAAAGTGAGGCAGGCGAGGTTTGGTGGCGCTCCTTTGTTATTGCTTTGTCTGTGTGGGAGCACATGGCCCTCCACGCTTTTGTTGTTCAAGTTACAGCCCCCCCTCTTTGTGGCAAATCAGCCCAGGCTTTCCATTAAACACGGTTTACGCTTCCAGTGTGTGAAGATTTGTTGGTGTTTGTTTTTTTTTATTTTACACATGGCACTGTAGCCTACATTTGAATGTCATGTGTAGCACGATGAGAAGTTTAGACGTGCTAGCGTGAATTAATGCACACTCCACTGATTTTGAAAAGAGAAATGTAATAAAATGTATTTGAAATCTTTATAAATATATATTTTGTTATTAATTCTGATGCATTTCAATGTTTGTGCCCTGAAAAGTCTGGTTTTGTGTATTTTAAGCTCCCCCAGTCTACTTGTAATTCAAAGATTACGTCTAATGAAATAATATCACAATCCATAAATTAATACACTACAGTAGGTTATTATTGGCGTATTTTGTCTTAATTTCTTGGAAAATTACCTATATGTATTTTTTCCATTGAAAGTAGTACTAAGGAATAATTCACCAGAAATGTGTTGTTAGCTTGCGTGTGTTGTTGATTTTTAGTTGTCTACAAAAGGAGAAAATTTGAAGAATGCAAAGGCTTCTTTTTTCCGTACAACATATATAGTGGCCACAGCTGACAAGCTCCAAAAAGCACCTTGGAGAAAAACAAACTGAAAGTCATTTTCACTAATGATTTGTTTTCAAACATCATTTGACATGCATTTGCTTGTTATACTGTCTAGAACAAAAGGATCTGTGAACATAATATATTGCATTATATTATATATTGTTTTTCCCCCATGCAACACATTGATCACTGGCAGTCAAAGTCAGTTGCAGTTAAGCCTGTTCCTCATTTAAAGCTGTCTGAAGTTATGAGGGCTACTTTAAAGGTGTTCTTTGTGGAGCTTGACAGACATGGTTACTATTCACAGTCAATGTATGGGGAAAAATCATTTAAAAAAAGAGCATACTGGTTTGAAATGACATGATGGTGAGTAAATAATGACAGAACTTTGGTAATATTAAGTTAATATAACATAAGTTGAAATGCACATGTAACGACTACAAAGGGTTCTGCTGATTTTCTCAAAATCATCATTCAATTCACAAAACCCATATTTCTTGTTTCAGAGTTCTGACAATCTGAGGCTGTTAGACACAAGTGCCTCTTGCACTACTGGTCCCCCCACCCCAGGCAGGTGTGACTCGTTCGTACGACGTCACAAATGCGACCATGGGAAGTAGCAGTGAGTAGGCGGCCATCAACAGCCCCCTTAAACCAGAGGAGGGTCTTCGGGGAGCCTTGCATCACACCTCTGCACCTCAGGAGAAGGTGAGGTGGCCATTATCATTTTGAGTTCATTAAAATCATATGCCGACTCGAGTATGTACTTACGATCTGTGTGTTTATGTCCTAGTCCTCCAGTGCGACGTCAGTGGGGACAGCGAGATATACCTCCTGTGCACACTTCCCTACATCAGGATGAGAACTTCCACCACCCTGTCTTCTCCCAGCATCAGCAGATTCCTTTAGATGAGTCCAGGCAATATAGCCACACCGGTGCACCTCCACGCATGCTGCATACTGCCACACAACCCCCCCAACAGAGCTCCATCATGGTGGATCTTCACGAACAGGTATTAGTTCAACAGGGGTCTCAAACACACATTTCCATCTAGGTGTTGTTCTCCACTAGAAGCATTCATTTCCTGTTCCTTATATAATGCACTATTTGATGTTCACTATGTTTAAGAAGTGTACAAAAAATAAAATTATGAAAAAGTAATATCAGTATAAACTAAAATAACAATACAATCAAATTTTTTGTGCTGTTTCTTAGGCTACAAGTGGGCATTTACATTTTAATCTCAGGCCTTGAATGAATATAATACAAATGTAAATGTATACATTTTTTGAATAATACATTTATTGACAATTTTTTGTTGTTGTTACTTAGGCCAGTTACTTTTGCCAGTATTTGCATTTCAGTCCTTTAATATGTATAAAATAAATGTACAAAGTATAATAAATATCAATTTAAATGTATAAACACTATAAAATAATTTTTAATGTATATTTCATTGTTACTTAGGCTACAATTGGGTTTTCAGGCCTTGATTATAAAAATATATATTTTTTTTATAAAAGGTATAAATGTATTAATTAAAACTATAAAATCACATTTTGACAGATTTTTATTGTTACTTAGGCGACAATTGGGCTTTTATGTTTGTGTTTCAGGCCTTCAATAAATATAAAAATAAATTAAGAAAATTTATGAAAATAAAAACATTTAATTGTATAAAAACTATAAAATCAAACTTTTTGACAGATTTTTCATTGTTACTTAGGCAACTGGGCTTTTATATTTGTGTTTCAGGCCTTTAATAAATATTAAAAAAATGTTTTAATTTAAATATATAAATAAATATAAATTTCAAGTTTCATTGTTAGTTGGGCTACATTTGGGCAATTTGCATTTTAGGCCTTTTAATAAATAAAAAAATAAATACATTTAGAAAAATTATTTAAAAAAAAATCCTAAATCCGGTCCGGACCCTAAACCAAGCTGCAGAGCATGAAACTTGATTCATGAATCAAATTTAAGCAGAAGCTGGTAGTTTGAGACCACTAGCATATAGACAATAATTGTATTACTCAGGCTTTGATGTGAAAGTGCTATGTGTAGACTGTAATTATGAATAGCTTTTTTTTTTACAAATAACCTAAACTTTTTGTGTTGTCCTTCAAGATGCATCAAGGATCAGTTCCGATATCTTACACAGTTACCACGGTGACGACCCATGGTTTTCCCATCCACACCGGGCAACCTATCCCAGCCTGCAATGCTCAGCAGCTCCCAGCATGCTCGGTAATGTTCAGTGGACAGCTCTCTCTGCTCTGCTGCCTTCCTCCTCCAGTGAGTTTGAAAAGGAAGAGCTGGAATGTCAGTGAAGTTTGTGTAGAGCACACCTAACATGTCCCATCGCTCCAGCTTTACTTTAGCCAATGTATGTATGTCCCAGGCAGCCATCATGCCCACCTCTTAGCCAAAGATACTCTATTATGAGTGTTGTTTTGTATGTCCCTCTCATGCTTACACATTAGGCATAGGTAAACAGTTACATTTCACTTTTTGATTTTCATGCAGACTTTTCCTGTGTCTCTAGAATGTGTAATGGCCTTTTTGTGATGCAACTTTTAAGGGGCAATGTGCAACCCCCCTTAATTTTAGTTTGTATTGCCACTGCGAGTGTCTGGGGTATTTTATCTTTGACATGGATAGCAAAGGTGTACTTTGTGCTAATTGTACCATCTGCTCAAGTCATTGCGTTTGTGTCAACATACCCACCTGTATTTTTTGTGGCCACAGTGATGTACAGTTCAAAGTGTCTTGTGCAGGGCTTTATAATAGGGCTATATGTATTTTCAGTCTTCTTTGCATTATATATGCTTAATAATGAAGTTGTATAAATGTATATAGTTATATATTAATATTATTTTGATTATTATTGCTTTTATTATTCCTATTATATTAAATGTTTATACAAAAAGAAAACAATAAAAGAAAAATGTATTACTTTTTTCCCCCAAAGTTTTCCCCATGCTTTAGAAATGGTTTATCAGATTCCTAAATAGTGCAGAATAGTGAAAACGTTAGATGTGCTTTACTCCAGAGTATGCTTTCCCAGTATTAACAGTAATTTCTTAAACTGCACAGCAATTCAGTATTCAAATGCCCATACACTTTCTTCATGAATGTGTGTCTTGTGTGTTAGTGACACTTTGTTGTCTGTTATTTCTCTTTCTGTCTGTCTGTCTGCAGCTCATTCAGGCCTGCACCATGCAGCACCTGCCTGTGTCCTATCAGGCATTTCCACCATTGATCTCCAGTGAGCATTTTATCCTGCACCCCAGCCCACCAGTGCCGCCCCACCAGCCTCATCTGCCTCCACTCAACCAGTTTGTCCCCATACAGCCCCAGCATCCGCGCATGGTGAGTGCAGATCATAAAATCTTTTGAATGCATGCATTTTAAGAATACTTTTCCCACAAACTGGTCACAATGCACAACACAGCTGTATGCTGCGTTAAAGACGCATGCCCTCTCTGATGTAAACAAGCATGCATGAGAAGCACATGAAAGCGCACATTCACTCTCCGACAGCAGATGGCACTGAACAGCAGAAACGCAGCCCGGAAAACCCTGTAAACAAAGCAGCTGCACTACTTTCTGTTTCTGAAACATGTTTAAATTATTTAAACAGCATTCAGATTTGTGTATGCACTATGGTGTTCATCAAAGCGCCAAATGCTTAAATATTTAGACTTAATAGGCTATTTATTTTCAAACTTTTTTACATTTTAATCTGGACTACAACATGCCCTAGATACTGTTTGAAAGTGTTTTGATTCTTTATTGTTCGGTCACACTTTACATTAGGGCTTCATTAGTTAACATTAGTAAATTCATTAGTTAACATAAACTGCCAATGAACAATTCTTCTAAACATTTGTTAATCTTACGTAATTCCAATATTTAATAACACGTTGTTAAAATCCAGAGTTGCAGCTGTTATTTAATGAGCTAACATAACAAAGATTAATAACTTCTGTAGCAAATGTAGCTATTGCTCATTGTGAATGTTAATTCATTAACTAAGGTTAACTAATGAGATCTTATTGTAAAGTGATACCACTGTTGCCAACTCTCGTGAGACAAATAAGCAACCGCAGATTTAAAAACAAGCCCAGTATTTTTTGATGATTTATTATCATCAATATTATTTATTATATAATTTATTTATATTAAATATATTATTTATTAAATATATATTATATTTGCAACAAAACAGGAACAAAACTCATCTCCAATCACCTGTGAGCAAAATAGGATTGGCGAGATGGAAAAGGAGAAAAACACAAGAGCTTCAAAGGGGAGCTGTAATATAGCCACATATTTATGTGTTCCTGTGGCTCAGTGGTAGAGCATTGCGTTAGCAGCACAAAAGGCCGTGGGTTCAATTCCCAGGGAACACACATACTGGTAAAAAATACGAACATAAATAAAGTAATGAAGTTGCTAGTCAGATTTCCCTAACAAGCAACCATATTTTTTTAAAATAAGCCCAAAAAACCACAACCCGCAACTCTGGATTTTTTCACGCAACTTTACAAAAAAAGAAGCCGAAAGTCGCGTATAATACGCGGACTTGGCAACTCTGAGTGATGCCTATTGGTCTTTACAATTCTTTTGCACTTTAATCTGTGTAAAATTTTTTACTTTATACATTTTTTGTGTATTGCTTTATTGTATTTAAATGTTCAGTTATTTTTGTTATAAGAAAAAAGTTAATAAACCTGTTATACTGTATTATGACAACACTTTTTTGCAACTAAATTTCAATATCGTGATAATACCGTATACCGTGATAAAAGCATGAGCAATAATCGCAACATGAAAATTTGATACCGGCATATCCCTAATATGTGTGTGTGTGTGTGTGTGTGTGTGTGTGTGTATATATACAGTGCCGTGAAAAGGTTTTTGCCCCCTTCCTGTTTTTTTTCTTTTTTGCATATTTGTCACACTTAAAAGATTCAGATCATCAAACCAATTTTAATATTACGCAAAGATAATGCAAGTAAATACAAAATGTAGTTTTTAAATGATAATTTCATTTATTAAGGGAAAAAAGCTGTCCAAACCTACCTGGCCCTATATATATATATATATATATTTATTTATTTATTTATTTATTTATATATATATTTTTTTCTCTTTTTTCCCCCTATAATTAAAATACGTAAATATATATTAAATATTATTTTCTTATAATTTGTTTTTTTAATTACAGAAAAAAGCTTTTTTTTTTGTGCATTTCACGTAAGTTATGTTGACAACATAGGTGGGTGGCATGACCAAAATCATCTTTGCATGAGTAATTTTATATTAAGTTGTAAAAGTAGTGATAAAATAATTTTTACAGGAAATTCATCACAAAAACACTTAAGTAGTCATAGTGCTTTTCATTAAAAAAAAATGTAGTGAATAGTTTCTTTTGGTGGTAATTCAACATAAAACATTTATTTAGTAGTAGTAGTGCTGTTCTTTTATATAATAAAACAATGTCACTTGAGTTTTGATTCTTCACTCTTTTGATTATTTATAATTAGATGAGTTTCTTACCTGACAGATACAAACCAAAGATTTTTTTCTTAATAATGTTCACATTATGTCATACTTATTTAAAAACAAGACTCGAAACCATATATGCATTTATGTGATTGGATGAGCCAGTTTATTATTCCCAGTGTTGAGTGTAGTGCACAACAGTAATGTAATTACAGTTCAGACAGTCTTATTAGTAAAGCAATCCCATTACAATCTAGAGAAAACAATTAGTCATGAGTGACAGATTAGTCCCCACAACTGATTGTGATCTTAATAAATAATAATAAAAAAAACAGTGTTAAACTGCTGCGACAAAATGAATTCTTTCTAAAATAGCACATGATTTTATGGTATTAATAGTCGTAATCGTATGCTAGAGATATGACTTTTATACATGTGTGTTCAGCCTCTGCAGAGGGTGGAGAATGAAGTGGATCTGCGAGGAGACCAGCATCCGTTAGGAACATTCTCTTATCCTCCGGCCCACCATCCACCAGCAATGACCCCCTCCGTCCCCCTCCAGTACCTCCCCCAGGAGCCCCTCCATCAAGAGCTACCCTACGGAGTGGTGAGATGTCTTTGCTTTTGAATGTCAACAAAGCATAGAAATCACTGTAATCAAGTCAAAATTGATATACTGATTAAAATGAGCAGCATTTGCATAAACAGGTAATAACATTAAGGAAAACATATGCTCTTAAAGGGGTCATATGATGCGATTTCAAGTTTTCCTTTCTCTTTGGAGTGTTACAAGCTGATTGTGCATAGATAAGATCCCTGAAGTTGCAAAGACTAAAGTCTCAAAACCAAAGAGATATTCTTTATCAAAGTTAAAGGAGGGGGCTTTGTAGAAAACGAAGCGTTTGAGAGAGGCGGGGCATAGAGGACCGTACAGTATGTACAGTATTTGAAAAATAATGTGTTTTTTGAACATTAAAGCATGTCAACATATTCTGTTACACCAAATACACAAAATAATGATCTTTAAAAAAGCATCATATGACCCCTTTAATGTAGAGAACAGTGAAGGTTTACTGGTGTTGAATAGTGGTTATAGGTCTGGTTTGACATGACAAAAATAGGTAAAAATTCCAGAAAGCAAAGTTAAAGTTTGCAGTAGTACTACTAGTGTCAAATAATGGTGAATAGTAATTTAAAATGTTTTTTGGGGGGGATTTTGGCTAAACAAAGCATTGTCAGATAACAAGAAGTTAAAAAAATTATTTGTTTAATGTTGGCCTATACGCAATATATTCAAGTTATGTAGCTTTGTGTTTACAATTGAACCGTTTGACAGTTGAACTGACAGTTGACACTTGGAGAAATATGGGATTTTTGATTGTGTGCTACAGAAAAACAGTAAGTTCAACCAATTAGGTAAAATTATGCTTACTAAGTCAGAAAGATGTGCTGAAATGGTAACCATAACTCAAAGCTTTAGAAAGAAAATGGTCAGTATAAGCCTATGGGAAATGGGCAATTTTTATCAAAAACTGTTGGTCCATTCAGTTAGAATATACAGCACAACCCGAGTCAGGACAGGTTGAAAGACTGTGCCTAGTTTGGTCAACATAAAAGCAAAGTTGGCCCAATTTATGTACTTAATGTATGTTCCTGGTCTTATTGTGGATGGTTAAATGGTAAAAGTAACCACCTGGAATCAACCTACTTTGCCTTTCTATTGATGTTATTTAAAATGCACAGGCTATAGGATAATACATCTTAATTTTCCCTTTTTTTCCTAAATTGGCCTGGTTTTGGCTTTGTTTTCTGACTAAAATGCTCTCTACAGTGCTCATAATATTATATATACAGTACGCATATTTGCATTGCCTTGACAGTTTTCTCTGTAGATCCCACCTGCTTACATGCCATGATTGGTTGATTATGTACAATGCCTGCATGCTATTGGTCAAACTACTTTTGAATCAAGTACGAAAACAATAGGAAAACCAATTAGAAATCCCGGCCAGGACATGTCCGGGAAAAGGTGGACGTATGCTCACCCTATTGGATAATATTAATCAATTACCAAATAGCCACAGTTTTACTCTTTTCAGGAAATCAACCCACAGGTGGCTTATGTCTGGCCCACTTTGCATAGTAAACATGAATAAGGGAGTGTATTTCGCACACTTCATCTTTAGTCTCAGGTTCCTCCAGGGGGATTGTTCTTGTAGTATAAATCCTGCCAAAGTAGCTTTGGATGAGATTTGCTAAATGAATAATAATAATTCAAAAGGTTTTCCTCATGTGTTGTCGTCTGTTTCCTTAGCCATATCCGCACATGCTGCCGAGGCGTATAACTGGACAGAGGTATCGATTACAGCAGCCTCTGCCTCCCCCTCCACCGCCCTACTACCCTGGCTTCTTACCATACTTCCTGTGAGAGTCTCTTCTACTCTTTATAATACAAATCAAATGCATTTTGCTTTGTGAATGTTTAATATTCTAATAATGGACATTGGACGGTTCTGATTTTATAAAGCCTTTGTGATATTTTTCTACTATAGTGACACAAAAGGTGTGTATGTTAACGATTTATGTGTTTGTGACCTGAAAACAGCTCGATGCTTCCTGTGCCTCCAACTGCTGTGGGTCCTGCTATCAGTCTGGACTTGGATGTAGATGATGTGGAGATGGAAAACTATGAGGTAAATAGAAAATCTTTCCCAGGGTGGGTGATGGAGTTGCCCTACTGTTTATATAACCTGACTTGTCAAAAATAAGCCTTTGATGGTTTTCACGTAATGTCTGTTCCAAAACCTAGTGAACTGCCTCACCATCTACTGTCTGTAGCTAGCTAACTTCTAACGTTTGTACACACATATTTGCAACTAAAAGTCATTTGTTTTCAATAAGAATGACTCTGTGGGCATGTGCAGTGATGCAACAAAGTTGAAAAAGGTTAGCTTTATAGAATTAAAGCTAATTTTGTAACAGAGATAATGTCATTATCTTGTTACGGTTTGGGTGAAGAGTTTTGAACACCTGTGATTTTTCTTTCAGGCGTTATTAAACCTTGCTGAGAGACTCGGAGAAGCGAAACCCCGAGGACTAACGAAAGCTGATATAGAGCAACTTCCGTCCTACAGGTTCAGTTTAGAAAACCACCAATCTGAACAGACTCTGTAAGTGCCCTCGGTTATGTAATCTTGAAGGTTTGATTGTGACTTGGTATTGATGATGCATTGTATTTAATTTTCTTACAGATGCGTTGTATGCTTTTGTGATTTTGAGTCAAGGCAGCTACTTCGAGTATTACCCTGCAACCACGAATTTCATGCAAAATGTGTGGACAAGTGGTTAAAGGTAAGAATTATGTTTTAATGCACAAAACCGGCAATAACTAACGGCGAAACCCTGTAAATATTAGTGTTCGACCGATACAGGTTTTAAGTGGCTTACGGTCTACAAAATGCTTATGTAGACTATTGTTTAAAAGTATGAGATCAGTAAGATTTTTGAACATTTTACAATGATGTCTCTTATGCTAATCAGTGTTGCATTTATTTGATCAAAAATACAGTAAAAACAATAATATGTGACCCTGGACCACAAAACCAGTCATAAGTAGCACGGATATATTTGTAGCAATAGCCAACAATACAAAATAAAAAAATTTATTTTATGCCAAAAATCATTAGGATATTAAGTAAAGATCATGTTCCATGAAGATATTTTGTAAATTTTTTATCGTAAATATTATCAAAACTTAATTTTTGGTTAGTAATATGCGTTGCTAAGAACTTCATTTGGACAAATTTAAAAGCGATTTTCTCAATATTTAGATTCTTTTGTACCCTCAGATTCCAGATTAGTTTCAAATAGTTTTATCTCCGCCAAATATTGTCCTATCCTAACAAACCATACATCAACTGAAAGCTTATTTATTCAGCTTTCAGATGCTAAATATCAATTTAAAAAAATTGACCCTTTTGACTGGTTTTGTGGTCCAGGGTCACATATTGTGACATTATTAAAATTTTAAACAACTGTTTTCTATTTGAATATATTTTAAACGTAATTTATTCCTGTAACGGCAAAGCTGAATTTTCAGCATCATTCCTCCAGTCTTCAGTGTCACATGATCTTTCAGAAGTCATTCTAATATACTGATTTGGTGCTCAAGAAAAAATGAAGACATTTGTTTTTAATGCTGTCTTTAATTGCATAGGCAGGCGATGTATAGATCCATCAATAATGTATGGAAACATCTCTGGCTTGTAGAAATTAATCCGTAACATGTCTTGCAGGCCAATCGCACCTGTCCAATCTGTCGAGCCGACGCGTCTGAAGTTCACCGCAATGTGGAATGAGTTCAGGTTTTTGTTCTTCACTGGAAAACGGCACAAATCCTTGAGTGTGTTCTGTGAGTGGGGACACCTGATCTCCAGCCAAACGCAAATCTACCCCCCACCCCGCTCCCAACCCCACCTCTACAATAAGCAATCTTGGAATTTGTACGGAACCTGTTTGACCTCTGCTGTTCGTCATTGTGTGAGGTTCATGAAAGCTACTGACCTGTAATACGTGTTGTGTTGGCATATTTGTTTACACAATTGAATATTCTCTAGTTGTTTGATCACAGATAATTAAAATCGTGCTTCAGCGTCGTTAGGGACTGGGGGAGTGGGCCTGGATGATGGTGGTTTTTGGCTTTACTGTGCAATCAGACGAGTCCGTAGGACGCTGCCGCTCCGCCGGTGAACAACCATCATAGATGCATGCCTGTATAAGTGACGGGCTGAGGGACTTGTTAATAATCTATGTTTTGCAATAATGTATTGATCATTTGAATATCTTAATCCCGATTCTCTTTTATCTGCGAATGCTGTTGTGAAGGTGTGACTTTCAGTGGTTCAGAGTTCCAAGGCCTGAGGTTAAAGAGGGAAACGTAGACAAAAAGGACTGCGAAACGACAGCCGTGAATCCATCGGGAAAACTCCCGCTGGGCTTTCACCACAGTCGTAGAGACATTGAGGAAGCTGTAGCGTTTTTTCGCTTTTGCTGTTTGCTGGCGAGGCCAATCGGACTGGCCCATGAGAACACAGGGACGAGGACAGCACACTGCCTCTGCCAGCTTCCACCTGGCTGCACTGCACAACCCCCATCGATTCTGGATTCCGCTCCCTCACACTCCGCTAGATCCAGGAGAACATCTCACAGGCCTCGCGCTGACTGTTCTTTTAGACTAGCAATATTTGAATTTACGAGATCCACCGCATTTCAGCCACAAGAGGAACATCGGACGGCCTCCGTCTCGCCATTCTCACGTCCGGAGGCCGAGGAGCTCGCATTCGCCTGTCCAGAATGACTTTTTGGGAAAGGGTGGAACACTTTGCGGAAAGCAATACGTGCAATGAGTGTGTGAAGTGAACGCAACGTTTGACCTGATTTTGGAGGACTAGGCTTTTTGTTTTTCCTCATTCGTGAGCCAAATAATCAATATACTCTACAAGATTTTAGCTCTGCCTTCTCAAGACCTTGACAAGCACAAACCTGTTACTAATCCTCAGACATCCTTTGTCAGTTCCTCTTTTAAAAGTATGCGTTTTTTTTTTTAAGTGGTGTTATTTATTTCTTCATTCGCGAGAGTTTGTGAAGGATTCGGTCGGAATGCTAAAACATCTTTAGCGCATTTTAGTTTGCCTCCGGTTGTCAGGTCTCAGGCCATGTTCACCGTGTAAAGTGATGTGAAAGAACGAAAAAAAAAAACATTGTATGCATAGCCTTGGTGTGAAAGGTTGCAAATTATCGTCTTGTTTTTAAGACAAAAGAATGTTGAAACCCTCTGTATTTCTAGTTACGCCCTCTCCTGTGTGACAGTTGACTAGTCGTTCCACGAAGATCCCGGATAGGATTCGAAACGGCAGAGACGGAGCGTTAGGGTCGTTTAAAGAAAAAAATGCACTGTAAAACGCTTAACTCGTGGTTCACTCGATTCCAAAAACAAACCTGAACGTTGTTCGGGGGAAAACTATGAACTATTTGTTTTTTTTTTGGTTCCCTAAGTACTTTAATTATAGGACTTTTAAATATATATATTCATGAGTCGTTTGTCCACTGAATAGTCATTGTAACTCAATAGACACACTGGCTTTCTCGGGTAAAGGGACTCTCTTAAGAGAATGTGAGTATCTTGTGTTTGCGTGCCAGGTTTTAAAAAAAGCCATTGTAATGAATTTAATCCACACTTTTGATAAGTAATCTATGTATACATATCTGTTCACTGGCATATATTTTGAGTATAATGGGGGGAAAAAATCACTCAGGGCCTCTCTGTAATTGAAAAATAAAGGAAAACAGTCCATTTCAAATTGGATTGACGCCATGGAGATATATTTGGGTATTCTGGGTTGTTTTCCTCAGGCCATGCATATTTTAAATGTAATCAACTGAACTAATATTCCTTTTATAAATAGTGGTGAATATTATTCCATTATAAGACTGGCATGCAAAGAAAAAAAAAAGATGAAGTGACATGTTGTATCGAGTGAGAATAGGCTTTTCGTCACTGCAGCCGATCATTAGCGTATGTTACTCGAACCTGTTTTCCAGCCGTTGCGTTTTGCCGTGTTCTTGTACTTGAACCACACATAAAGGTTGTAATCCCGTTGAAAAACGTGCCACGGTGCACACTGTCCTACCTAGACCACTTCCAAGACTATTCTTACAGTGTTTGCATGATTTAAGGATTCAAAAAAAAAAAGAAAAAAAGTCAAAAAATGAAATCTGTATTTTCAGTGAAAGATATCTAGACAGGGGTGGGCAAGTATTTAATTGTGCACAATATGCATGCGTGTCTAACCAGGTCCCAACTGGTTTTTAGGTAGATCTAGTTGGCTTGGGTTCTGGGTGTAGGGGACTTTCTGCTCAGCTGATAACTGCCATGCACTGTACTGCACACATTTGTAATAGAACCGAATGACTACAATATTTTATTGTGCTTGTACTTGCAAAAGAAGAAGAAAAAAATTAAAGGCTAATAATATAGGATGTTTAAAATAACAACGTTAAGCTTGATGCCAGTGGGAAGACAGTGGCTTTTTGAAGCGGAAAAATGTGATTTGATAGGCTCCTCACCACATTTGTGCTTCTATTGTTGCCTCAGTTACTGACACACTTGCCTGGAATCTAGATAATGGAAAGCCATATAGTAAAAAGGTGCTAGATATTCATTCTATATTTAGGTGTAACGCTACATTCACATAAGAGAATGCAATAGTTTGTTATGGGTCTCTATTCATACAGCATGCAGTGCTACTAGTACCCTCATGGTGGTCAGAAACAGTTAATAACATTATCAACAGGGGTTTCAATTAAGAAAACAAACAGAAAAAAGAAAGAAAACTATTTAGCTTTACTTGTATGTGCTGGTAGACCGTTTTAAAGGATATTATTATTTTACTGCCCGAGTGATCAGATTCAATACATCTGCCTTAAATCGAAGTAGTAGGAGGTTTTGTGTGGGTTAAAAAACACGGTGTTATCACTCATTCACCAAAACGGTCAGAAATATATGTACCTGTTGTACGGTTCTCTCTACCTTGAGCATCTGTAACTGTTATGGTTTAAAAATAAGTTGTTGATATACACGCAAGCACTTTTGCTTGGGGTAACCGGCTGTGGGCTATTTCTAATATATCATTATTTAGATTTATAAAGGAATTTTTCATAATAACCAAGATTCCTTGAAAACCTCAGTGTTACCTGTATTGAATTACTAAAGAGAAAGAAAAAGAAAAAAAAACCTATGAGTTATGATGATAAATAGAATCTTGTAGTCTTTCTGTGATTCAACTAATAAATAATCTCACAGCTTGTGTGGTGGAAAATTGTGTTCCAATAAGCAGCTAAATACTTTAGGATTTGTGATTTGTTGATTGCTCCATAGATGCCACTGATTGTTTACCAATGATTTCTTGCTGTGGTGGGATAGTGGATTGTTTACTGTTCTATTCTCCTCCTGGCCTTTAGGGGTCAGTCATTGCCTGAACTCCAGACTACCCAGCCAACAACAGGGCCAGGGGCATGTGTTCTGTGTTAGGAAGATTTTTTGCTTTGGTACTTGCACATTTACAGTTACCTCATTTTTGCCATGTTTGTATTTGAAAAAAAAAAAAAATAATAAAAAAAATGAAATAAAAAAGCTAATATATATATATTATATATAGGAAATGGTTCGTATTGCTATAATTTTTTCATTCCATTGGAATCATTGTTTGTAGCATTTAACATATAACTAGTTATAGTGTATTATAAATACATCTGTATACTGATTGAAATTTTTAAGATTTATACTTTTTTTAAATGAAAGTAGCTAGTTCTGCTTTACTGAGTAGTGCAATCATATTTTTTTTAATTGTGGCTGATTGGAGAGGGTTGTTCACTAATAAATGTGTGATGTATACTCATACTACACTGACTAAAGTAATCACTGCTTTAAACGTATTGCGCAATACAGATGTGTTGCAGTTCAGTTACTTGTCTGAAGGTTTCTGTCTCTCAATAGAGTTCAAAGGTGAATCTCATAAAGATTGTTCAGGTCATTTTCCCCATTTAATCCAAAGCAATAAACCTTAATCAGATTAGATGGCATATTGAATTGAATGTGGATGTAAACAAGGCTGTCTTTTCAATGGCCATCTGAACAATCGTTACTTTGTTAAACAGGACAATCCATTGAACGCACTGTATTTCTGTCACTCACAGCCTTGTTTTCATTCCTGTCAAAAATAGTGCACTACTCTGAGCAAGTTCTATAATATGTTTTGTATAAAACATTACTCACATTGCCACCATATCAGTTATAGGTCAGTATCTGCCTCTTTTGTTGTTAAATTTGTTTTAGGAAGAAATTAGACATTGTTTTAGTATGATTTAGGACAGCCATAGATTTCTTTTCTTGGAAAAACAAGAATTTCAGATCACACACACACACAACTCTCTGGAACATTACCAAAAATAATTCAAATTCATTGGTCTTGTTTCTGTGTGCTTTTTCTATAGCAGATTTCAAAATGAACATTCATGCAATATTATCATACATTATAATGATTCACTTCTATCGTACAAAAACATTTAAAGTATATATTTAAAATATCAGCCATTTATTGGTCATACAGATATTATCGTATTGGCTAGAATATCAATGCATCCCTATTTATATATTTTAATATTTCTTTTTTGCATTGAGACATTATTATCAATTCATATTCTCAGTGTTAATTGCTATGATACAGTAATATAAAACCAAGCAATGTGGACATGATTTATTAATTACAGTCAGAATAATGGCAGTATAACATACTACCATGGTATATAAATACTATACATGTTTTCTGCATTAAAATACTGTGAAAATGTCACAATGCAAAAAAAAAAAAATTTCTTGACTATTTTGATTTAGTGAGATGTGACCCCATCTTCTGACCAGCTTTATGAGATTCATCCTAATAGTTCAAACTCACATTCAAACAGACTTAATGCTATAAAACGAGGTAATCTGGGTTACTGCCTCTCCAATTACTTTATACAATTTTACAATGAATGTTTTAAGTCATTATTTAGCACCATATTTTATTTCCACATACCTACAAAAATATTAAAATTGTCATTGCTTCAGGTTTGTGCAGTAGGCTGCAATGCAAATGTTGAACAAGCTTGAACCAAAACTTTAGTCAAACCACAACAACATTTTAAAATGTTTAATTTAGAATTGGAAAATTACATCTTTACATGACCAGACCCATCAGATGGACGACAGGCAACATAGGCATCTATGAATTACCACAGGCACACTATGCGCAGACTGGCACTATACTCTATATAGACAAAGCCACATGGAAAAACTGTGGCCTTTAGTTTTCTTATTCGAATTCACCTGAACCGCAAGCAGCCCATCGTATCCTTTGCCGACAACCCTCTTTTGGTCGTTAGATGAGATACATTATATGGTCGACTTTGATTTGCATTAAAAAAAGAAAAGAAAAAGATAACTCTGTTGTGGCTTCCAGGCTTGTCCTTAAATATCTAGGTCATATATTTACAGGGCCGTTCACCTTGCACTCATTTTTCGGAACAAAACTTCACTGCAGGGAAGGATGGGGTTATTTTTTTTTTCCTTTTTAAATTCGGTAAAAGGTTTATTTCAGTGACCCCTCGTCCAGGCCATCAGACAGAAGAACAAACTGGAGGGGAGGCGGGACTCGAGTAGTGAGCAGGGGGTTAAGCTAAATGTCAATCGTCTGTGAGGTCCTGCACAAAGAGGACTTCTGACCGGCTCAGACCGGCCTCCATCAGAGTGGGGGGATTGGGCCGCTCTTCCGTCGGCAGGCAAGGCAGGACCCGGCGTGGGAAATTCGTTACTATTTGGAATTTCTCAGGGGTCTCTTTCAATGAAAACAGGAAGTCGTGTATTACCTAGAGGGGGAGGGAGAGACGTTTTAGACACTGGTTTCCACTTCAAAATACAGTTTTTTAAAATTAGGCATCACGTAATACAATAAAAGACTACGCCTTGTTTTTACTCAAAACTGTGGGTCTCCTGAACCTGTTTTCTTATCTTTAATCACAGACACTTATATCATACTGTTATGGTACTCAACACTGCACAAACGAAAAAAAAAAAAAGAAAGCAGATGAAGGTGTTTACCGTCAGTGACTGGCTGAAGAGGAATCTTCGCTCCACGCGGGTATCGTTGGGCAATTTGAACACTATTTTGACACTGTCTGGGTCATCCAGGGGCGGCTCAGGAGGAAGACACTCAGACTTGCGCTCCTTCTCTTCTTCCAGTGTCTGTAATTACACAATCATTAGAAAGTCATTAAGTGTGATTAGTCATAGCTACAGCTACGTCGGAAATTTGTCAACTGACGGGCATCATGAACAATTACTTGTGATGTGCAAAGAAAGAGACCGCAGGTTTTAAGTTAGAGACAGTATATGCAACTGTTCTCAAGAGCATGAAATTACAAAATACGTTTGTCACAATTTTTACTGCGGTCAAATTTTTGTTTATTTAATTTCAATTTCAATTCAATTTTATTTTACTGTGATCAGTTACTTAAAAGGTAATAATATCTTGTAATTCAATGTTCTTTAAATGACTGACAGCAATGGTAATTGTCAAATGAATTTCTAAATTTATTTTTCGTTACATAAAATCAAATCGCTTACTCTTCGTCTCCTCTCTTCGGCAAGGATGCTCTGGTGTGCCTTCTCCTCCTCTTGACGTTTCAGCTCTTGTTCTTCTCTTTTCTTTCGGTCTTTTTCCTGGTCTGCACGTAGGGATGCCAGGTAAGCTTCATCTTGCTGCTGCCTCAGTACCTGCGTCTGATTCCTCTCCTCCCTGGAGATAGATAGACAGATAGACAGACAGATAGACAGACAAATATAGATAGATAGATAGATAGATAAATAGATAGATAACAGAACCAAAACATCATATCATTAATACTATCAATCAATAATAATAAATTATATAAATAAAATTATATAAAATATAGGGTTGGGTATCGTTTTTTTTTTTTTTGATACCAAATCGATACTTTTAAAACAGTTCCGGTGCCTAAACCGATACTTATTAAAAAAAATAACCAGAGGACAAATATTTCAATCGATCGCTCAGGTATGGCACCGAAATCTGCGTTCGGATTCGGTTCTAGTACATTCCGGTTACATGGGTACTGGTGCCATATTGGTACTGGGTTTCAGTACCCAACCCTAATAAAATATAGTTTCTTTTTATGTTATAATTAAATGCCCTACACATCGGGGTGAGTTTCAATTCTTCAGAAAGCAAACCACATAACCTCACCTCTCTAGTCGTTCAGATATGAGATATGTCTGGTTTGCCTCCATGATGAAGGTCAGCTGGTTGATAAGATCCTCAGGCTGGATCAGCCCCTCCAGTCTCCCAACAACTGTCATTTTGCGGTCCTTCAGCATGATCATAGCCAGGAAGGGATAGGTGTTCTCACGCAGGGCCTGAGAGACTGAACACACAACATCTTGTGAGATAACGATGACTCCAATCAGAGACTGGGAAGTGAAGTTGATGTCAAGCTAGTTACCTCTGTAACCCTCTGGCTTGCTGGTGGAACATGCCCAAAACAGCATCCTTGTGTTAATGAAGGTCAGCACCTCTTCTGAACATAACGTGGTTCTGAGAAACAGACAAGAGCTCTGGTTATGAGATAAGAAGCTCACCAGATGTGAATGTGCATAGAGGAGAACGTTCCAACTTAAAAGCTACCTGCAGAACTCATCTGTGTCCTGGTGATCATCTCCATGAAGATAAACTAACAAGTAGCGAAGTTCTCGCTTGGCATCATTCAGAGCCTAGAAGAAAAAAACAAGTTCAACAGATACACACATTAAGAACAATTTTGGATTTACTTAACCCAAGATGTTTCAGTCTTCAGGTGTCTGTCTGGTAAACAGGTCAAATACATGAAAAGTTAAATGTACTTTTTTATATTAACATACCTGACTATATGTTCCCTGGTAGAATACAGGATGCGATCGACCATATTTCTCCTCAAAACTATGAATAAAGGACATGACATCTCCAACAGGGTCTGTGACACGACCCCTTGGATCCGGTCGAACGAATCTCAGGGTGAATCTGAAGAATTTGAGAGAAGAAAAAACCTCAATAGAAATACTAGTTACTACTGTAGTGTGAAATATTACGAGTCTATATTAGATGAACTGCTTTAATACCTGAATATGTCCAGAAGTGTATAATACGTAAACCTGAAGGGAAGCATTATCAAGTAGTAACTCCAACCTAATAAGCCCTGTAAAAGAGAAAAAAATATTGATATAAGCAGCTTATTTAATATTTATAGAGGACCATGTTGCAATGTCTGTCATAGTGCTGCAATTTTAATAGGGAATTACCCTAAACTGTCTGCATGTCATACCAGTTGAAACCAGAACCTTTCCTTGGCATTTTAGTATTTACCACAGCTAGATATAAATGTTTATTGAAAACACTAGAACAAAGAAATGAGCACTGGGAATGAAGGAAAAAACAGAACACATAACATAAACACCAAAAGACCTTCTTACTCTAGGCTGTGGTCTTGAGACAATATAGCTATACACTCTGTGGTCTGTTGTGTTGACCTGTAACGGTCTGGCGGGCGGCGGGTTGAAGACACTCGGAACTCCTTCTTGCTCATTTAGTCTGTCTTGTACTGCGGCCTGTAAAAAAGATTCCCATTAATTCCAATAATTATAATAAGGTTCCCAATACAAAAGAATGAATCCATTCATTTGGTTTACCAGCTCTCACCTCAATGTTCCAATTGTGTTGTTCTAATGTGCGCCGACACTGGTCCATTGACTCCAAGCCTGTCAGGTCCTGAATAATAAGGACAGATCTCACGTTATTTACAAACAAAAGAAAAGCGCTGAAATTTATTGTTATCACAAGTTAAACTAAAATATCCTGTTGCATGACAGATATGTTAATAAAATATGACAAGTTTTGATAACGAATGAAACATTTGGGTGGCAGTGTGTTTCTAAAATTCTAGATTAAGCGTTTTCAAGATCAGTCATCATTCAAGAGCATATTTTTTCTTTTATATTGCTGTATGACTCGGGAGTAGATGAGGAACAAGTAATCTTCTCCAATGATTGTTGCAAACAGTTTAAAACAAGACAAAAAAAAAAATCCTAAATGTAAAGTTAAAAGTTGAAGTATTGCCAGGTAGACTGGAGGCAGATTAGCACTGCGTCTCAAAACCTAGTATACTGTCTATCTAAATGGCATTTTACGTACCGTTCCAGAAGACTGGTTGTTCCACATATGGCCGTCAAAAACCTAGAATGCTGCCTAACTAGAGAGCACTTTGAGCATCATAGGCGCACTTTACTTTGACCAAATCTGCTGTCTAGGTAGGCAGCTCTCTAGGTTTTGTGACACAACCAATGTCTCGCTGCAATGACAGCTGCCATTTCAACTAAAACAAACGACACTTGTATACAGGAGAAAGTCTTTATATGGACATAGAACAAAAGGATATTTTTCAGATTAAGTCTGCATTTATTAGATAAACTACCGCTGGTTTTGGTTGAGTAAACAGTAACGCTCTTTACGGCAGTTAGCTCGCTGACTGGTCATTTATACTTACAGCAGCTGAGCTGGACACCGCGAACACAATTTTTTCTGATAATTGAGTCTATAAAAGATCCAAACAGTATGTGTTAACCAGACAATCTAGTTGGTACCTGAAACTGAAGGAGTTTTTCAGTTTGAGCCTGAGATAATTCCTGTTCTTCTGGCGCCGCCATCTTACCTCGCCGAGCCCTAACAAAACGCGATGACGTTTAAAGCGTGCTGACGTGACCAATACGTTCGACGTTGAACGAACGCTTCTTTCTTTCTTTTTTTGCGCCGCCTGCTGCGCAGGAGTTGTATGGCGCATGTTTTACCGTCATTTGTTTTTAGTTAAAAATAAAAATATTAATTTATAATATAAATAAACAATAAACAGCGTTCTTGTAATTTTAATTGAACATTAAGTGCAGCTAGTAACCACAATTGATTAGATAGATTATGTATATGTTATACAATCGTATTGCGGGGAAAACACATTATTTAGTGTGTTATTAGAAAAACACATGTTACAAGAAAGCGTCTAAAATTAAAACATATAAAGACCAGTTATGTAATGTGATGTACAGCTGAACTTAATTGTTAATCTAAGTAAGAATGAAATCAAGAGTATTATTAAGAAAAGACTGAAGGAAAGGTGGCAAAAACAATGGGATAAGTTGTTTTTTTTCACTGGGAAGTCGTGGCCTAATGGTTAGAGAGTTGGACTCGAAACCCAAAGGTTGTGGGTTCGAGTCTCGTACCGGCATAGATTGTAGGTGGGGGGAGTGAATGTACAGCGCTCTCTTCCACCTTCAATACCATGACTGAGGTGCCCTTGAGCAACCCCCAACTGCTCCCCGGGCGCCGCAGCATAAATGGCTGCCCACTGCTCCGGGTGTGTGTTCACGGTGTGTGTGTGTGTTCACTGCTGTGTGTGTGCACTTTGGATGGGATAAATGCAGAGCACTAATTCCATGGGGTCATACTTGGCCACATGTCACGTCACTCACTTTAAATAAGGAGAAAAAGGTCGGTGGTTTTACAGAATTCAAAGGAAAGTGGGAGAGATGAGAAGTGCAGGGAAAAACAGGAGAGATGAGATAGTAATATCGAGGATGAGATTTGGACACACAAGATTAAATAGTACACTTTTTTAAAATGGGTAAACATGGTACGGGAAGGTGTGAATTTTGTGGACAAGAAGAAACAGTGGAACATGTTATATTGTACTGTCAGAAATAAGAGACTGAAAGAAGGATTCTAATGCAAAATTTAGAAAAAATAAAAAATGCATTTTACACCGAGATATATTTGACAAAATAACTCAAGGAATGAATGCTATAGTTTTATTTTTCAGTTCCTTAAAATAACCAATTTGTGGGAGAGAACTTAAAAAATAAAAAAAGGGGGAAGGAAGTCACTTTTTTGATCCACACTCCATAGCAGTTGTATTTTTTATTTTAATTAATTTATGATTTATTTATTTATAAAAAAAAAATAAAATAAAAAAAAGTTGTTTAACTTTTTATTTATTTGTTTTTGTTCTGTTTATATTTCATTTTTATTATTCTTTATGTATTTATTGTTTTGTATTCTGGTTGTGTATGTATTTTATTGCTATGACTGTATCCCCTGTGAATGTTATTTCTTCAATAAAAAAAAATTTAAAAAAACTCCATACCAGTTGGTGGCGGAAATACACCATTTTGTTGTTTGTCAACCGCCAATAAAATTTCAAGAAGAAGAAGAAGAAGATTTACAGCTGGCGGAAATGCCCTGTTCTCTCTGTTTATTCCACTTCCTGTTAACTGAAGTTCTAGCTAAGCATGGCAACTGCAATGACCCCGGTTGGCCAAGATCAACCGACCAAAGCAGATCCTCCACCCGTCGTGTTTGATTTGTCTCAGCCTCCGGTTATCGAGGGATTCACCCCGCTGCCCAGAGCAAAGGAGGAGAATTTTAAAGACAAATTCATCAGAAAGACCAAAGACAATCCATTCGTCCCTATAGGTGAGTTACGTAAAACAGTAAACAGTGACTTGCAAAACATAATTAAGTTCTATGATTCACCAAAATGCAGCTTCATATGATTTTGGTTGCCAACAATTAAACGCCTTTGAAGATAGAATGCAGAGAGTTTTGAATAGATTTAATATAATTTTATTCGTACAATGTTATTGCATGGAAACCTTGTCATGCATTTTAGATCAAGGTGATCATCTTGCAACATATATGGCATGTTCCATGCAGCTGAGATTTTTGCACTGACAAAAGTTAAATGTGCAGAGTTTGACTTTCGTTTACCCCTGTCAAAGTAACAAGCAATTGAAACACTGAATTGATTTCCCTCCTCTGTGTTATGGAAGTGCTGCAGTGTACATTCTTTGTTGTGTCAGAGCCAGAATGAAAGGGGGAAAAAAGGATGGAACAAACAAAAACAGCTAGTGTTTTTCAGAGGAATAGTGATTCAAACTAAACGCGTTGTTGGTGTTTAAGCTGAATGTTTAAGACCATAAAAAGTAGAACGCTTTCTCTCTGTTATTTGTCGCTTTTGACAAGTTTGTTACAACAACAAAACAACAATAACAATAAATATTCGTACATTTTGATAGCTACCTTCTTGATAGCAAGTTAAAGAACATATTTTGTCAAACATATACTACTGTTCAAACACTTGGGGCTGGAAAGATTTATTAGATTTTTGTTTAATGTTTATTAAAGCCTCTTATGCTCACCAAGGCTACATTTATTTGATCAAAATATAGTTCAAATAAAAATATTTTAAATATTATAATACTATTATAATTAAAAAAAAACATTTATCTATTATCTATTTTAATATATTTCAGAATATAATTTATTCCTGTGATGGCAAAGCTGAATTTTCAGCAATCCTACTGTCACGATATTTCAAAAACCATTGTAATATGCTGATTTGGTGCTTAATAAACATTTATTATCTGTGTCGAAAAGAGTTCTGCTGCTTAATATTAATGATCATTTTTTTTGTTGAATAGAAGGTTTAAAAGGACAGTATTTACATGAAATGGAAATAATTTTTTACTTAAACTGTCACTTTTGGTCAGTTTAATGCACCATTAAATAATTTATTTTGAGAAAAAAAAAACCCTACTGATCAAAAACGTTTGAATGGTAGTGTTTTGGGTGGGTAGTAAGTGACATTAAATCACATTCTTTTCTTTGCTTCCATTGGTCACTGACTGAGTAAATTTGTAAGCATCACCGAGAATCCCAGTGCACAGTAGATTTTCCACTGAACTCACCCTTCTCTCCAGCTGTGAGCTTTCAATGTGACTTACACAGAAAGACTGTTGCGCCAGAACAAATAAAACTACATCTTAATATGTTAACATCTTTCATAGAAAGATTCAATGTGAGCAAACCACTTGATAATAAATGTGTATGTATGGTATATGCATAATTCTTGTTGTATGTAGTATAAGATAAGTTGTATAGCTATCATTTTTTTGGTGGTCTACCTTCTCAGGTTGTTTGGGAACAGCAGGAGCATTGATCTACGGCCTCAGCGCCTTCAGACGGGGCAAAACTCGACAGTCGCAGCTGCTAATGAGAGCCCGTATCTTCGCTCAAGGCTTCACCGTCGTTGCTATTCTAGTGGGTGTAGCCGCCACAGCACTGAAGCCCAAGCAGTGAAGACGAGACAGCAGACCCTGTTTGACCACACTGACAAGCGCCTTATACGGTCCATGGGTGGAATGTGATGTGAACATGGAATGTACTGAACATTAAATGCCAATTGTTAGCATTTTTATTTTCTTTAGATAAAGGCCCAGTGTAAGAACTCATATTATAGATCGACTGTTGGCAGATGGCACTATTTGCAAACTTTATCAATATGCCACACTTTAAAGGAAAACAATCTGTCATCATTTACTCACTCTCAAGTTGTGCCAAACCTGTACGAGTTTCTTTCTTCTGTTAAGCACAAAAGATGATATTTTGAAGAATGTTGGTAACCAAACAGTTGGCGATTGCCATCGACTTCTATAGTATAGAAAAAAAATTGGAAGTCATTGGCTACCGTCAACTGCATGGCTACACACATTCTTCAAAATATCATCTTTTGTGCATAACAGAAGAAAGAAACTCGGACAAGTTTGGCACAACTTGATTTTTTAGGTGAACTACCCACTATTTAATTTAAAGAGTCACAACATTGCCTGGTTGCAGGCATAGTACCCGTTTTTCCATGTTGATGACCTTTGCTTGAAACATTGCATTGCTTTTTTTTTTTTTTACCTCAATTTTCTGTATGTAGGCCTGTCACGATAACACATAAATAAACATTTTCTAACAAAAAGTGCAAAGTAACTAAAAAGTAGTAAAGTAGAAAAAAAGAAAAATGCAAAAAAAACTTGTATGGAGATTTTTCCATCTACAGATTTTTTCCCTGATCTTCTTTTCTCTGTAAATTAAGGATTTTTAGGGAAAGGGAAACTTTTTTTTTGTAGAAGCATTTTTTAAATTTGATCTAGCTCCTCATGACTACACCACATTATGTTTGAGAAGCTGCAAAAGACACAGGCGCAAGTGGAATGTACAAAACATGGTGACATTCATTTTTAAGTAAATATAATGGGCGATATATTGCGTCACCAAAAATTGAGGTCATGTACATATATTGCGCGATAAGTCGATATATTGATTATTGCAACAGGCCTATCTGTATGTATTTAGATGGACTACTAAAGGTGCTGCGTATTGTATGCAAAGAAAATGGGAATTCTTGATATTAACTTAAATCTCAAAGTGTTATAAATATTAGTCTCATTTTGAAAGTCACAATAAATATTGTCTGAATGCATATGTTTTCAAATGAACTCATTTTATTTAACGTGTTATTGAATACAGAATAATTATTGCATGGTCTGCACTGGTGCACACACATTTTGGAGTCAGGGTAAGGGCTAAGAGATCTATAAAAGGGGGACTGAGAAATCCAACCAATTTTAAATTACAAATGAATTTTCACTAGATTGTTGAATTAGAACCCAAAGTTACAGATTATTTGTTTGGTTATTAACCATCATTTGTTGTAATATGCATCGAAAGTTATCTTAAAAGCCAACTAAAATTTAATTTGCAATAGAACAAAGGCCTCCTAACATCTGTAACATGTATATATGTGCCATTAAGTAACAAGTAGGATTACAAATTTAAAATCTGGTCTATAAAAAGCGGTATTGTTCTAATTCCAGCATGTTTATGTAAAAATACAACTACCTGCATTATCTTATTGTGCTACGTTCTATTTCTAGTGGTTTTGGCAGCTTTGAATGATGAAGGCCTACAGATAGACAGTAAGTCTCACAGTGAGAAAAGGTTTAGGCACATGATTCATTGCTGTAGACTGAGGCCACAATTACAAACTGTACACTAGAAAAGCACATGGTTCAAACTTCTTATTAGTCCCTTATGTATATAGTAACATAACAGAAAACATTAACCGCTATGTAAGCACAGGCACGTGCCATTAAGGATTTCTGTGCATATTAGCAGGTTAAATCGGGAGTATTTCTCCTTCATCTGTAAAATATTTATTCTATTTTAAGTTTAATAGAAGCTTTTATGGGCAACATGCACATTGAATTGAAAACTGCACTCTTAACTAATAACTATTTGAATATTGAAAAGTGGTAATGTGTAAATGATAATAAAACAAGAACCTTAGCAAGCTCAGAAATGTAACGTCCCTCTTGGCAGTGAACAGAAATACACAAACGCAGATAATGCCAAACCCAGATACTGATTACAACACAACATTCAACTTAGAAAGACAAATAAATGGTCAAAAAAATACTATATAGGGTGAGAGATGGTAACTAAACTGTGTTCATGTGTAGAATGTAACCAAACACTTCCATTTCCTGTGTAACGAGGCAATAAAGACACTTATTGGTTCCAGTGAATTAATGCTGTCTAATGGTTTGTGGGCTCTGCAAACGTCGTGACAATCACAAAAATAACTCGCAAGCTAACCAAAATACTTTTGGCTACATCTGCCGCCTTTCATGTAGCTTGGGATTAAGGGAAAAACTTGACTTGTTTTCAATGGATCGAGGCACACTTACAATATGTTCTTTAACATATGGAACAGCCGAAGACCAGGGTACATAAATAGGAAGTTTAAATACAGTAAAGCGTACACATTCAATGACCCTTTTGAAAAACATAAAAGCTTAAATCTGTTAAAGTGTTCAGCCTCACTAAAATAAAGTGCAAGAGGGATCAGAAAGAAAGCCTAGGAAATACCAGAGGGAGTTACGTTAGCGAACCAGAGGCGTCTGTTTTAGAGAAATAAGAACGGAGCGCATCCGAGAGACGTCTTTAGTCTGACGGCTGGTTTTGGGGTTAAAGTCGCATAGACGAGCCACTTTCTCCCATTCTGTTCCAGGACTGTCATCATCGCACTCCTTGAGGAAGGCCTCCTCTGACACTCTACATGGACGGAGAGGAGAGAATCATGAGAACCAGCACTTCACAGACGCTTAGGTAAGAGCCATGTTACTTGTCATCATCTGAGACATCAAATGAAATTAGAGATCGACCAGCATTATTTTCTGTCCTAACCAGGTCTAAACACTAATTGACAATCACAGCCAATTTAGAAGTCATTTGATATTAATATTTCATCTTTTTGGGTCGGCATGTCTAACTGTTAAGAATGAATGAAAGGTGGAAGTTACAGACCTGTTAATAAGAAATTAAGCATTAACATCATTAAAAATGTTGGTGGAACTGATCATTGGTCTATCTCTACATGAAATGAGAAATAAAGCATGTATGTAATTACACTGTTCAAAACTTTGGGGTCAGTAAGATTTTTTTGAAAAATATTGATACTTTTATTCAGCAAGGACGCACTAAATTGATCAAAAGTCACAGTAAAGACATTTATAATGCTACAAAAGATTTCTATTTTAAATAAATGCTGTTCTTTTCAACTTTCTACTCATCAAAGAAGCATTTCTAAAAGAAATATTAAGCAACAACTTTTTAACCGATAATAATGACAAATGTCTCTGAAGCACCAAATCAGCATATTAGAATGATTTCCGAATGATAATGTGACATTGAAGACTGAAATAATGGCTGTAGAAAATTCAGCTTTGCCGTCGCAGGAATAAATTGCATTTTAAAATATATTCAAATAGAAAACAGCTCTTTTAAATTGTAATAATATTTCACAACATCAGTGTGTTTTTACTGTATTTTTTTAAATTAAATAAATGCAGCATTGGTTAGCATGGGACACTTTTTCATTTAAAAACTCTTACTGACCTCAAACTTTTGAATGGTTGTCTATGTGATGCAAGCAAGAAACTGAGTGCAATTATGTGCAATTTCACTGATTTGCATTAAACATACACAAAGCCTATGGCATCAGAGTTGGGCTGTTTGTAGAAAGCCTTATCAGCGATCCTAATGCACAAACAGGCAGGACAGTAGAAGAGGAAAAGAAAAGAGGATAAATGAAAGGAAGAGAAAAATGGGAGCCAGAGAGTGAAAGAGAGAGAGAGATACATAAGATGAAAGTCAGTCTCACACAAACTGCACATGAAAAGAAGTGTTAAAGTACATTAATCAGTTTTTCATGACACCAAGAAGACTAAAGATACAACACCATATGCTGTCGATTACCATAGAAAATCAATTTGATCATCCCTTCAGTACAAATTCTAAATGCATTACTGTAAATACGATCTTGTTTCTGAGGAAAAAGTCAACATTTTTTAAGAGCTTAACCTGCATTGAACCAGGAACATTCCTCCATTGAATATTTAACCTGACATGTCTTTGTATCTCTCTCTGCTATAAATTCACACACACACACACAACACTGTAACGTGAATAAAAGGGATGGTACACCCAATAAAAAATTATAACTATTTGCAATATGACAAGTCAAAGTCCATGTGATTTCTATCAAGAATTAAAAGCGCATACAGACAGTTTTAGGACTGGTCTTCTCTGTGCACATGAAAAAATACAGTAAAAAAACTGAGACAATCAGATATCATCATGCAAGTGTCTGTTGAGATGTGTAAGAGGTGGCTGGCATTAGTATCTCAGCAGTAAGACTTATAATGGATTAATTACATTTACTTATGCGTATGAGAAAGATGAGACCTCATCTAAAACATATTATAAATACAAAAACAATTTCAGAAATTAAAATCTGCTAAAATTATAGTAATGACAGTAGTAAGCCTGTATTTTAGAGTTTGGCAAACCATTTTATTAGAAGTTCTCCATTACATGTCTTTTCTCGTATGGACTGGTGGTTCACAACTGTCTGCATCCTAATTTTCACTAACAAATACATACAGCTCAATAAAGCCTGGATGTTAGAGTGAAAATACCTGTTGTTGGCTTTATTCTTCTCCATCTGTTCATTCTGGTGTACATGCCAGTCATCTAGTTCCTTTCGGGCCTTTTCCCTCCACACAGCCTCAGCTGCTTTAGAGGCTGCATCTGCACATCATAAAAACAGAGAAAGTTCACACCCAACACACAAATTATTTTTTTTTTTAAGTAATAAACAATAAGCAAGCAAGCAAAATGTATCCTCATATTTGACACCACAATACGTTTGGCTTTTTTCATTTATGTCTTTAAAATTCATATTTCTATTATAAATCAGCTATTTGAATAAAGGTGTTTAAACTGTTTTTCCATTAAAGTGTTCTTTTTCTCATTTCTAACTTTTTGGTTATGTTTTGCTAGCAAAATTATATGTACTGATGTCTATTACGTGGCTGTAGCATAACTTCAAGAGTTTTCGATTACTGCTGCCACTGTAGAAGCACCATATTCATCGCCCATGATTCATTTGTTTCACAAAACAAGAATTAAACTGGCCAAGTGATCTAAACATGTCGGCCACCATAATAAGGGACGAGCCTTTTGTGGAATAGCCTGGATAATTTTAAACATATTTGTCAAAAGCACTATTAATTGACTGGTTTTAAATTGATAAAATGGAAAAGATTTAAACCAGCTTTTAAGAACCAAGGCTTTTACCTGAGAAATTTGTCCCATCTAAAATTATGACATGCCAGATAATTGTCTTAATTGAACTTGGCAGTCTATCCAGTTTGTAACACACAAACACAAAAAGCACAATTTCCTATTGAAGGTTATTTATAATTATACAGGAAATAATTCAGTACCTAATTCCTCCAGACGAGCCTTTTGTTCCTCCCTCCATTTGCGCAGGCTCTCAGGTTCTTGTCTCTGCATGTCGACTTGGGCAATCGCTGAGTAGCTGTCAGTTGTGCCGTTGGTGTCCTAATGTTACAAATGATGTAATGTTAACAACGTCCGTTCCTGGCACAATTGCCAATTGTGTTGTAGTACATAAAAACAAACAAGAACATTTAATACGACAAAATTTGTTGTTTTTCTAACCACACTCACCTGAAACATATCTCCGTTTACAGCAGTAGCTGGTTCGTCTCCAAAGTCACCTGCACTCAAATAGCAGAAACAACACGAGTTTAAGCACTCGTTAGGCAACAGTTTCTACGCTACGTTGACTATAGAAACATTACAAGCATCACTGGAATGCAGCACACCTTGTCGGACTGTGAGTACGTAAAGACCTCTCTCACAATTTCTGGATCTAGTCAGCAGGTGGGCTGGTGTGTTCACTTTTCAAAGCGGTTTAGTTCAGCAACCTTGATTGTCTCTACTCTTTTGTCATACACAAATAGCCTTTACTAGTGCACTTTTCCAGTTTGCTTGCTTGTCTTAATTTGACAGTGTGGCATGTGTGACTTTAACTCCAGCATTAAAGCTGAATATGTGATGTTAGACTACTGAAAAACATTGATTTGGTGGTATCAGACTGAAATTCACTTAACAACAATAAATTATTCAAATCAGAGTCTTCATGGTTGTTGTCAATCATGATTAATCTCTCTCCACGACTGTCAGCTTATGGATAATTTTGATGATGATGATGACGATGAGTTTAGGTCACTTCCCACACAATTCATATTAGATCTTTGCTATATTGTTATTATTTTGTAAACTTGTAATTGTGGTTGTTTTTGTTTTAAGTCATTGAATTAATGCGCACTATTCTTTACTAAACAGTATTGTAGCAGTACTATTGTACTTCCATATAATATAATATAATATAATATAATGTGTGACCCAAGACCACAAAACCAGTCATAAGGGTCAGTTTTTTTTTATTTATATATTTATACATCATCTGAAAGCTGAATAAATAAGCTTTTGTTAGGATATAACAATATTTGGCTGAGATACAACTATTAGAAAATCTGGAATCTGAGGGTGCAAAATAATCAAAATAGGCTATTGAGAAAATCACCTATAAAATTGTACATATAACTAATCAAAAATTAAGTTTTGATATATTTATGGTAGGAAATTTACAAAATATCTTTATGGAACATGATCTTTACTTAATATTCTAATGATTTTTGGCATAAAAGAAAAATCGATAATTTTGACCTATACAATGTATTGTTGGCTATTGCTACAAATATACCCGTGCTACTTATGACTGGTTTTGTGGACCAGGGTCACATATAATATCATAATATAATATAATATAATATAATATGTTTTGGACATGTATCATGGGATTCGTAAAAGTACTTGTAAATATCATGGTACAGTAAGTTCAATACTGCCACATTACTTTTCGTAAGAAATTGTCAAAAACCATGGTACTTTATGGCAAGTGATATATGGCACTCATTTAGTAGGCTACCATATTCGTATAGCATGGTATTTACCATTAGAATCTTACTGTATTCTTACATGTAAGAATACAGTAAGATTTGCATTACGTTTACACAAACTTGAATAATCGTATAACAGTATAATAAAAATCGTATAATAATAGTAATGATGAAGTGCAAGCCAACAGGCCGGCGACACATTCACCTCCGAACGACGTGTAGGTGCTCGCGGGCGGAGGTCCGCCGTCCTCCAGTGCACCGAACCCGGCGCTGTCGTTCTCGAGCACGGCGATCTCGTTCTCGAGCACGGCGATCTCGTTCTCCTGCTGGGCCAGAAACGCCGCGGCCGGATCTTCTTCTGCATGAACTCCGTTGTCGGAGGCCGAAAAGCCAAAGTCGTCAGCCATGTTTAACAAAGTAACACCGGCTTCCGTAAAGCTGCACTAAAACCCTCCAGCTGTTTTGTTCTTCAAGCAAGTTAGGAGTGTTTAAAGGAAAAATAAACTTACATTAGTTGTTAAAGGTCAAACATAGACAGATTTGTGCGTTGTAAAAGTATATAAAATAAGTGTTACTTTTTTTATGGCAGCAGGTTGGCCATGAGTTGAATGACACGCAGCTCTTGTTGGGAGTGCTCAGTGCTGGCCTGCTGGGAAAATTTCAGTAACAATAATGTTGAACGCACAGTAGATTTGTGGTATTTTGTCTCCATCTACTGGAGTCAGTACGTAATTCACACTTCAACCCTGCATCAAGATGTTTGATACTGCCATAGTTCATACTGTGATGTGATGATTTGTTTTCTTTTTTTTATCTTTAAAAGTGTTTATGGAAGCTATTTTCACCAGCTAAAAAATGGTTTTGAGTCAGTTATTTCTATCTTTTGCTGTAGTGTGTCAGTAAATCAGTTTGCATTTCCAAACATTCATTTTGCCATTCATTGTAATAATCCAGTGAGATGTTTGTTTGCACAAGGAGTCTGACAACAGCCAGTGCTCCACACAGAGATCTGATCT